TTGTATCATCCCTGCAGCTCCTGTATAATTCTGTGCAGAAATGGGGAGGAGGGGTGGCAATAACAACTGTAGACTGTCTTATCTTTCTCTGAGTCCAGTCTGAGGCTGCTAATGCATGCCCTGCAGGTGGGGAGATTTGTAAGATCTAGTTGCCTTACATGCAATTGGGAGGGGGCTCAACCTCCAAAATTTGTGGTCTCTCAATTCCTTTCGATATAGGAAAACTTTGCCAGGTGTACTTCATGGGATTGTCCACCTCTTGGTTTACCTTGCTCCCTCCTGTGGGTTTTCCCATGGGAGATGGCAGTCTTGGTCGAGGAGAGGAAGGTACAATGTGATTTATTTTTTCATATACGCCGTGGGGGATAATATGTAATAGTAATCACAGTACAACATCTCACACACTTTGCAGAAAGCATACACTTGCTTTGACCGCCATGCTCCAGTAAGGTTCCATGGTTAGTGAGTTAAACTTAAGAGCAGAAGGGGAGGATCTCTATGCCAATCCCTTTGCCCCTTACCCATGAGTTAGTCCCACTGGAGTCAATAGGGCTAATCTTGTGAGTAAGATGAACAGGATTTGGGACCTGTCTGAGACATTGCCAACTTAAACATAGCTACATTTTTGGAAAAGCAAAGACCTATTCATGGCATTATCTAGGGATGGTGTGTGAGACTTACATCTCTTATGTATGTATGTAGCTATTTTGCCTTGGAAGTCAGTAGATCTTTTTATAAGTGATTCATTATGTACACTTCTCATCAACAGTCTGTGTGATATAGTGAGCTGGGCACCATTGAGTGAAATTCCTCCCCCGCCCCCTATCAGTTAAAAAACATGCAAATAAATGCTTTGCTATGTATGTGTGTTACATAAAAGTTCAGCCATGTGCAAGATTAGGTGTATGGACATTAAAATATTATAATTATTCACATTTCAGTAACATTTGTATATAACTGAAGGTTTTGTGGTGGGGAAAAGAAGCCCATGGAAATCCAGTCTAGCTTAAGAACGATAAAGATGGGTGTTTACAGCATTTAAATCACTTGAAATGATAGTTATTTGTCCAAGCATAGTACACATAATAAGACAGCACAGCAAAGTTTCCAGGGAGGATCTAGCACATGCTTTCAATTAGAAGTCAGACTGCAGCAGAAGAAAAGGAGTGTGAGCAACATTTCTCCATGACCTCATTAGGATATTTCTCAGCTAACCTACGTATGCATGACTGAACAAGTGAAAAATAGTACAGTTGGGTTCCAAGCTACAAGGCATCTTCTTCTGATTTATTTTCCTGTATTTAAGGACTTCTGTCTGAACAAGGTTTCCAAGTCTGCGTTAGCAATGTAAATGGAGGACTTGGGTGAAATCCTGCAACCCTCTCGGCCAAAAGTTACTCTGACTGATCCTGCGAACTCTTATGCATGTGAGCAGTCCCATAAATTGCAGGATCGTGGCCTACAGGTACTGAAAGTACTATGGCATGTCTTGTACCTGTTAATTTTTAAAATTATATAATGTGTGCAAATATTACAAATGAAATTATGCTGGCGTGAGTTTACATGTAAAACCATTTGGGTATTTTCCACATATTTAGAATGCAGATGCGTAAAGCAGAGGGGCCTATACCTAGCTGAATTCATAGTGACTAATCGTATAAGATCAGCAGCTTAGGCTGCGTGTTTGTAGTGAGTGAGAACGTTTATAGTGATTTATTCGTGCATATATAGTTCTTATTCATGCATGTAGGCAAAGCCTGTCCTGGAGCGCTCTCTGTGGCAGTGCAGATTTTCATGATCCTAAAAGCAGACCCATGTGCTAATCATGCAATCTGACCACAAATTGGCACTTGTCAGTCACTGAGAGGAAGCATTATTTTCAGAGGTAACAAGTGAGCATGGATGGCTCTTACAGGCTTTCGGTAGAAAAGCAAAAGGGTAGGAGTTTCCGCTGCCTCTCATCACTCCTAATCTCCTTCCTCCCCACTCCGCTTCTTTTCTTCTGGTACGTTGTTTAAGGTTTTAATAAAAATGTTTTTTATTTTACTAAAAGCTATAAAGCCTTCTGTTCCAGTTTTCTAGTAGGTTTTTGTATTTGGTCTGTAGCTGATTCTTTTCCAAGATCTAGAGGTTAGAAACATGTACTAGAGGTGAAATCTCTTGCTTATGATGGAAAATCTTGGTGGATGCATGGAGCTGTAGAACCCCCTACTGGGTGGCCTGTGAAGTTCCAGAGACTAAAAATCTCATCTGCCATTTCTGATGAAAGAATAGGCCATTGTAGACAGAGAGAGCTCTTACTTGGACTAATACCCATTCCTGCCAGACATCTCTTTAGGAAGATTAGGAGGTGTGTCAGTGTCTTGAATCTGCAACACTGGAGCCCAATCCTGAAAACCTTTACTTACACAAATACACCTCTACCTCGATATAACGCGACTCGATATAACACGAATTCTGATATAACGCGGAAAAGCAGTACTTTGGGGGGGTGGGGCTGCGCACTACGGCGGATCAAAGCAAGTTCGATATAACGCAGTTTCACCTATAACGCGGTAAGATTTTTTGGCTCCCGAGGACAGCGTTATATCGGGGTAGAGGTGTAGTCTGTTCTCGTGCAAGTAGTTCCATTGTGTTCAAGGATTTGCAGAAAGTTTTTATATAATGCTATATGTCTGGCAGGAAAAAAAGATGAATGCCTATGTTAGAAATATTACTGGAGAAAAGCAGATCTTGATATTAGAAATCAACAGATGCAATCTTATGTACTTGGTCACGTTAGTTGTAGAGATGGAAATAACCCGAGAAAGTTATTATGGAAGGAATGGTGGGGGTCGTAGTGGGGGACGACCAGCGAGACAGTGATGGATGGATAGTATATGGCAGATCACTGGAAGGTCAGCTGCTCAGCCCTTGAAATTAGCGATGGATCGTGAAGGCTTTAGAAAATTCTGCTATGATGTCACTAATATTAAGACATGAATATATGGATTTATTTACTTACCTACTTATTCATAGTAAAAGCCAGGCAAACAGTACTGTGCCACTTTGCATATAGAATCATTGGCCCCATGTCAAAGCACCGGTGAGGCGGGCCTGGAATAAAGAGCTAGCAAAATGGGCTACCAAGCAACTAGAAAGATGTAGAAAATGAGGCTATATCTATATATTGGTCCAACTTCCCAATAACCCTATTCACCTACATTGTGGTAAGATAGAATCTCTGTAGGTGCCTATTAGTTACAAAATTCAGAGCTAGATCAAGATTCTGAGCACCCCAATATTAAGGGCTGTTGGTTTTGCTCTGTCTAATTTCTTTAGGCCCAATCCAACTCCCTTTAAAGTCCACAGAAATTCTCACATTGATTTCAGTGGGAGTTGACTCGGGCTCTGGGCAAGGAACCTCTTCCTTCCTTGAGCATGGAAGAAATAGGGGAAGTTACAGTGTGCCTAATGGATTTGTATAGAATATAGCAGAATGTGACAACACATCCAACATCCTATTGGTCCATCCTTGGCAATCCTCTGTTCTGCCGTGGATGATGTAAATTTGGGGCCCATTGCCAATAGTAGTTGCTGTTGAGATAGTCTGTAACCTTTTTTTTTTTTTAAACTAAAGCTGTACTTTAAGGACCATTGCCAGCCTAAACTCACACTTCTGCCTGGAAGTTACGTATGTGCTAGTGCTACGAGCAACACCTAAAATAAGGCTGTGTAGACACTACTACTTATGTTGGTATAATTTATGTCACTCAGGGGTATGAATACGCCGCCCCCCTGTGCGATGTCAGTTACACCGATCTAAGCGCCAGTGTGGACAGTGCTATGTGGTGGGAGAGAGCTTCTCCCGCCAACGTAGCTACCACCGCTTGCAGGGGCCAGATTAATTAAATCGATGGGAGAGCTCTCTCCTGTCAGATTAGAGTATCCGCACTAGCAGTGCTGCAGTGGCACAGCTGCACCGCTGTAAACTGTGTAGTGTAGCCACAGCCTAAGATAACAATGTCAGAGAGAGATTGGAAGGAAAATGGAGGTGAAATTTTTCTATATTTTTGTCCTTAGTTTGTTCGTTTTGTATGTTTGACAGTCTTATATGGGTCTTTCACACAGAAACAAGGAGATTAAAACTTTTTTTAAAAAACAGGAAAATATGAGTGTAAAACCACAAAAATTATCAGAGTGCTCAAGGACAGGGTTCTACCTCAAACTATTTTACACGTTTTTGTTGTCTGCTTTTAAAAGATTCACCTAGGTTTTTCAGTTTGCTGGATTTTTTTCTGCAGCAGCCTTTAGGACTGCCTCATTTTCCAACAACGAGGTCTGTTAGGTTGTGAAAAAAAATCTCTCAAGTATTATGGTGGAAGCCTCTTATTCTGAGACATTTAAAATAGAGACAAAGCACTCTAAATATATTGCACTGACTGGATATTAAGATGGTGTAGAGGACCTAACATGTCTTTTTCCATCTTGATCGTTTCTATGGCTGTGTGATAACGTTCATGGTGGATGATTACCATGACAGTTGTAGCAAAAGACACTTGTCCTGCAATCTAGCTGTTTACAAATAGGGTTTTGAAAAATCTTCCTTTGATTATTGCTCCTGTACCATATTACGTTCAAAGAAATATGAGACTGCTCTCAAAGAGCTTTGTTTAGCTTGTGTTTGATTCTTTCCTCTTCTCTTGTGTGGGTATTTTCTTTTCCACTCTTCTTTGACAAATAAGGATGGATTATGGCTCTATAAAGAGGATTTTGGGTTTTTTGTTTTAATATCCCTCCCTGTGTTCCAACACAACACCACTCTGAAATTAAGTTAGGGGAGCTACTTCTGGACAATGGGTCATCATCTCCTAAGGTAAAAGATGTGTATCAATTAGGCATGCTGTTTGATGCCTTTCCACATATTCTTGAGCAAACTAGATCTGTCTACCACATATAGACGTCCACATACATGTTTTGTATTTTCATTCTCGCTTACAATGTGTTTACCTTGTTTCTAGGACTAATCACAATAAAAGAGGCCCGTGATATAGAAGCCAGGCTTAATGAAGTGGAGAAGCTTCTGAAGATTATTATAAATATGCCTTGGAAAGTAAGTATGCAAAGTACCACCTTACTGAACTTCACACCCGGTGGATAGTAACTTGCCCATTTCATTTAGATAGGAAGGCATGGGGCAGTTTGAGCTTTTGCAGAGGCAGAAGGGGCTGTTCAAGATCCTGCACATCATCCCTCCCTGTACCCAGGGCCGGCTCCAGGCACCAGCCCAGCAAGCAGGTGCTTGGGGTGGCCCAGGGGAAGGGGCATGTCGTTGGGCTGTTCGGTGGCGGGTCCCTCTCGGAGGGAAGCACCTGCCGCCGAATTCCCGCCGAAGAAGAAAGCGGTGTGGTGGAGCTGCTGCTGGAGTGCCGCCGATCGCAATTGCGATCGCGGCTTTTTTTTTTTTACCCGCCACTCTCTCTGTGTTATGAGGGCTGCATCCACACAACATATATATATATACACTACCTGTATGGTCCTAAGGATGTCAGATGGGCTGCAGCTGTGTGCTGATTGGACCACAAGCAGCCGGCAGGTTGAGAACCAGTGATCTAAGTAATGTTCTGTTACATAACATTTACTACAAAGTGACCTGTGCATTGCCATGACTATCATCTCCTTGTCTTTCAGGGTAATATATCTGACCTGCATGGTGTGTTGAACTGAGGGCCCAATCTTATAATTAGATCCACATGAGCAGACTCCCTGATTTCAATGGGGCTCTGTATGGCACAAGGGTCTACCTCTGTATTTTCTGATTGCAGGATTGGGGCTGTAGATTGTAAGCTCAGTCAAGCAGGGACCGTATATTTCCCTGTTTTTATTGCACGAGTCACACTGAAGGTGCTCAATGAATAATAATAATAATAATGGGTATTATTTGTAGTCTTGCCACTGCTACCCCAGGCTTCTGAATGCCTTTCTTTTAATGTTATCTAGACCCTAGATTCAGTCCGCTTTTTAAATTGGACAAGTTACTTAACCTCTCTGTTCCTTCTGTTGCCCATCTGTACAAAAGGTATTATAATATTTATCTCCATGACGAGGCTATGTTGAGGCTTGATTAATGTATGCAAAACACTTAAAGATCCTTGGGAAGATCTTGTAAAAGAGCAATAGCTCTTGAAGTTCAACCACACATGCAGGAGTTGGGAGATGATTTGCATTCTTGGTCATGGCATTGGCTTTGTTGTATAAATGGGGAAGTCACTGAACGTGTGTGCCTCAGTTTCATCATCAATAAAATGGGGATAATGATACTTTGCAGGGATACTGAGCAATTTTATTCATTTTAAGTGCTTTGAGTTCTTCAAATGGAATGCATCATGAAAATACAACATATTTTTATTTTATATTTTCAGCCAAGGTCCTATCATATGACAGTGTAGCCAATAGACCATGTGCCAGGCGTGATCATTCTGCCTGACAGTCATATCGCTATATTTCAGTGTGTCAGATACTTACAAAGTGTGTAGTCACGTCTGCTGTGTCAGTGTCTTTACCAAGGAAACTAACTCATGAGCAAACAAAGCGCTTACTGGGGAAGAAAACTACTTCAGTAATTGGCGACCATGGTGACTGATAACCAATGTGAATGGTTGGTCATTTTGAAATCTGAAGATCATGAACCTGGTTGGCTACTTGTTGTTGTGTAGAGCAAAATGTACTGCACAGAAGTCAGTGGAGTTACACTAGTGAAAAGGAGTGCAAGCGAGAGGAGTTTCAGACTTCATGAGATTTTTGGCATGTCCAGATGAGTTCAGTGTAAGAGGTTCCCTCCCACCCTCCCGCACTGGACAAATAAGTTTGTTATAAGGAACATTAACTATATTTTATACAAAGTGCCTAGAAAATCACTGATGGGCAAGTAACAAAAAACAAAAATAAACGTGCCCATTAAGTAGTCATAATTTATTAGACAAACCCTGAGAGACACTGGGCATCTGAAATGCCTAATGTAGTCAATGGGAGTTGCATGTTATCAATAGGAATTGCATGTATTCAGCATTTCTCAAGATTTGACCCAGTAACAGGTGGGAGGTAGGGGATAATAGGATAAACAAACCAAGCGGTGAGTCTGGGACTTAAACTTTGAAAATATATATTTCTTTGGTTCTTTTTCAGTATTCTAGATCTGAAGTTGTCCTTACCTTCTTTGAAAGATCTCCGTTAGATCAAGTGTTAAAAAATGACAATGTCCATAAAATTCAACCAAGCTTTCAGAGTCCGGTTAAAATATCAGGTAAGAATTATTAGCTCGCTAGAATGCACACAAGAATTATTAAATTAAAATATTTGTCTGTTCTTTCTCTCCCCTCCCTCCTCAGCATTTCAGAAGAAACCCTTCATCCCCCACTTTCGCCATGCTCTTGCCTTCCAATGTGTGGAATATCATAAGGGCAAACATGCTACGCAGCAGAGCTATAGGCATGTTGAGATGAGTCTTTTGGGAATTATACAATCTTCAGACTCTTCTTTCCACTTTTTGGAGTCCATTAGCCATTCCTTGAGAAGGCCGTGTCCTTGTGCTGTCCGTACTGTTGCATCGCAATGGAAAAACTGAGAGGACATGAACGAAATAAAGTATATTTATATAACATGCAAAATGGTCACGTTTTATACTAAGGGTGTATTTATAAATATTTTAAGAAGGGTTAATAGGAGATGAAAAGATGTAGAAGACATGAGTAATATATCTTACAGATAGTTGTAACTACATCAGTACAATAGAAGATTTCGTACATGATTATATGCCATGGTTAGGAGTAATCATTTGTTAGAGTTCATTAACCCTTTATAAATGAATTATAAATGTACCCTTAATATAAAGCATGACTGAGAAATTTAACAGCAGACCTACCTGTATAAACAATGGTGAAGAGCATCAAAAAAATTAAATGAAACACAAGAGCAGGTATAAGTGTGGAACAGTGATTCCATGCCCAGTTTGGCTTCCATGTACAAATTCAGTCTCCTCTTCAGTGGAGGGTTTGTGTGTCTGTCTCTTCAGGTATCTACTCGTATGCTTGGGGGAGAGAGGGAGGGCGTGAATACATTTACTGTACCTAATCCTCCTTGACCAGGATGTGAGTCAAGTAGAGGTGGGTAAATTCATTAATCTAAACAAAAAAAAGTAGGTTTTTCCTATATTGGTACATGACATGTGCAAATGTATCCCAAGAGGGAGTAAATGCAAACACAGAAAATCAGTCAGTCACAGTTCTTTATATCATCTTGCAAAATTTAGCTGGTTTAGGATCTGTTTTTAGTCATTTTACTAATGTACAGAACGAACTGTGATAAAGATGTCTAGGCCAATTCTAATGGCAAAGATATGAATTTCTAGACAGGTTATGTATACGTTAATTAGAAATTACATATACCATTTCTGTGCACAGTTCTTGCATCGGTCACCCACTTAAATGCATGATGTGCTAGACTATATGCCATTTATTTTGCTTCTATATATCTGAAAATGTTCTCTGAAAATACACTAAAGAGCATATTCAATGGGACTATGTGTAGAGTAAGTTGCTACTCGGTGTCAGTAAGGGTGGCAGAATCTAGCCTTAAGAATATATAATGTGAAACAAAGTGCTCTGAAACAAAGTGCTTTAAAAGAAAGTCTAGGAAAAATTGCAGTTTATAATACTGGAAATTGACATACTGGGTCTGATTCCCTCGACACTTATACTGGTATAAATCAAGTATAACTCCATTGGAGCTGAACTGGTTAAACCCTGGAGAATCAATTTTTTTGTTTTTGTAGGGTTTAAGGCTTGTTTTGTTCTCTGAAGAAAAATGTAGTTAAAGGTAACTATTTAACAATAACGTAGTCTGTGTGCATCTCTGCATGCCTGACATGATGGGTCCAAAAGCAGATGGAATGTGGTCATTAAGCAATAGTTTGGGCACCATTCTGTTGCAGGTCTAAGAGTGCAATAAGATGGCAGCTACTAGTTCAGGTGCTGCTCCCTCTTACACTGGTGTAAATCAAGCATAACTTTGTGGAAGTCACTGAAGTTACACCAACTGGTGTGACAAGAGAATGAGGGTCACTGTTATTTTTAATAGGTAAAGAATTGTGTGGAGACCACTATCTTAATTCTCATGTGTGAATGCTCAAATACAAAGAGTGAAGCCTGGACTAGCAGTCAGTAGATTCGGCAAGGCCTATGCATAGAGGAGCTGTGGAAACAATGGGACCTGAACAAGAATGTTCTTAAATCCCAAATTAACTCCTACAGTTTATAGTCGGGCCTGACTTGATTTGTTTTTTCCTGTCTGTCTGGGTATCCAAAAGTACTCTGTGGTAGTCAGTCTTATGTACTGACTGGCTGTTATAAAGAATTTCAAAACAAAGCCCAGAATCTGATGTTTAGTTGACACAACCTTAGTCTGAATTTTGCATGCTGAAATGACTGCATTGTTTAGTTGATGGTTCCAGCAGATGGCACTAAAGGTTAACTTCTAAACTGCTCTGTACTGCAGGAGTAATGCTGTAATATTCTTAGGTCACGTCAAGGACACTCGGAAAAAACTGTAACATGCAGGGCTTGCTTTACATTGGATCTAATACAATTCTCTAGGTGACTTGTAACCTCAGAATACTCTGCAAAAATATTTTGTTTTCACTAAAAGAAAACAAACTGTGTCCAGCACAGTCCACTCCAGATTAAAATATTTGAAACAAACAAAACTCACCAGATGAAAGCAGAATCTGATCCTTGAGTTTGCATCTCAATCCACTGAACAGTGTTTGACAGTGAGTCACAGCTGATGTGGAATTCTGGAGGGATTCAATGTAAAACCACTCACATATACATTCTGTTCAACTTGGGTGCAATAAAAAATAGACTAGAAGTCAGAGATTAATTTTTCCACATAAACATGGAGGCACATGAGTGTTAGTCTGAATGCAAAAATGTATCTTTATTGTAAAAAATTCAAACCTCAGGTCTTTTCACAACTAAGATTGGTAGGTATCACAGGGTGGCAAACTCTTTGGGTTCAAGATGCAAACCTTTTGTGTCCAGACCCACGCCACCTAACTTTCAACAGCGGGATAGTTCCCTGTTGTTCTTGCAGATAATTCTCAGAACTAACAAATAGGGCCTGGTTCTCCACTTAATTTGGTGTATATCAGGAAAAAAATCTATTGAGATCAGTGGCAGTGTGAAATGAGTGCAAGTGAGAGGAGAATCCAACGATGTGCCAGCCCCAGTATACTTTTGCTGCTCCCAGTGACTGAAAAGGTGTTCTAATGAACATGGGGCTAAAATCTCTGATGTAAATGGGTAAGAAACCATTAAAGACAGTGCTGCTGTATCCATGTATACCGGTTGAAAATTTGCCCCCTGAATTGTAACTTGGTTTCATGCAGAATTTATAAAGCAAATGCAGGTATGTTTCTTCACTTCCAGCCCGAGAGCTTTAACTTTGAAGTTTAGTTAACTTATTGTTAATTGTAAGAGTGTTAATTAATGATCACTCATTTGAGTTGCAAATGTTGGACCTAGTCTTGATTGAAATCTATGGCATTCATGCCCAAAAAGTGTAAGCTTGCTGGAGTGATCTTGCTGAGTCTTTATGATATCATAACTTTGTGTATTCACTTAGAGCCGAATCTAGTGCCCCACAAAGTCAATAGGTGTCTGTCCACTGATTTCAATGGGGATTGTGTCAGACCCTTCTACCTATAAAGAATGACTGTAGAATTGAGCGATTCTGAGCTGGTAGCATTTGCAGAGAGGTAATGACTACACGAGGCTCAAGGCAATAGAGAATTGGGCCCAAGGAAAATTGCTGTTGGAAAACCTATTGTTTAACTTACTTTCAAGGTTGTTGTTGATTTAGTGTTGTAATTATTTCTTTTCTTCATCTTTTTGTTTAATTATGATAACTTGCTGTCTGGAAAGAATACAATCAAGAGTACTGTTGGATTATAACCTTATGGAGCAGATGCCACTCCATTGAGTTGGCACAGGCTTTAATGGGAGCAGAATTTGGCCTTCTCCCAGATGGGAAGATTTGTTAAATATTCTCGCATTAGGGTTCTGAACTGCAAATATTCAAGCACATGAGTTCAGTAGGACTGATCACAAGTAAAATTGCTCAAGTGTTGCTCAAGTGGCTATGAAGCCAGCAAATGATGCCAGCTCATCATTAAGCTACAAAATAATAAAAAGACTTTTTCTTTTAAATTAGCTTGCACAGATATTCACAGACACGTCAGTATGTCCTGTTTGCAGCAATGTCAGCTTTGTGTGATGTGCATCCACCCTATTCCTGCCCCGTCGCCCTCCCCCCCCTTTTTTGGAACCATCTCAGACTTTCAGCATTTTACCTGTTTCTTCCCTTCTCCCACAGAAATCATGCGATCTAATGGATTTTGTTTAGCAAACACTGAAACAATAGTTATTGACCACAGTATACCAAACGGAAAAGACAAGCACCTGGATGTAGATTCAGCAGAGCACTTGTAAGTATACATTGTTCCCAAGTATTGGTGTCTTTAAATTAATTGTAACCTTCTCCTAACAAAATTTTAGTACCCAGACAAATGCAGTGCTGTGGGAAGACCTGTGTTGGTAAAATTGCCAGTCTGGCTGATTAAAGGTTGGTTAGTTTGGCTGGGCTGTAAGGATCTGTCTATGCTGCAGCTGGGAGTGAGCCTCCCAGCCTGGGTAGACAGACTTGTGCTAGCAGGGCTTAACCTGCTATGCTAAAAATAGCTGTGTGGACATTGCAGTGCCAACAGAGGCTCAGGCTCCCAACCCGAGCTCGGACCCAGGGAGCAGGGTAGGCCTGAGCTCGGGTGGCTAGCTTGAGCGTACACCATGCTGCAACATCTACCCAACTATATTTGGCTTGCTAGCATGAGCTCCACTAGCCCAACTCTGTCCATCTGGGCTGGGGGGGCTCGTCCATAGCTGCAGTGTAGACGTACCCTAAGGGCCCATTGCAGCGGTCATAAAAATCAATAGAAAGACTCCCAATGGGAGTTGCAGTGTCCCTAAAGGAGACTGGCCCTCTTCTGATGGAAAAACTATGGATGCAACATGGGGCCTCAAGGGTGATAGGTACAAAGGGTATGATCGGTGCGACAGAGTGCTGAGAACCAGTAGCTGACCCAGCACTCTGATCACTCAGCTTTAATTAGTTCCCCCAGAAAAGGCCTGCTGGAGGAGTGGCGTATTTCTTTACAGCTTTTACTAAACACTCTCTTGCGCTTTTTAAGCCTGGCTCTTTACAGCTTTTCTAATCAAACTGGGGGGTAGGAGGACTGATGAGCTAAGGAGCTAATTATCCTATTAGCTGAGAGGGTAGTTAAAAAGCACAGAAAGGAAGTGCAAGGGGGGATGCTAGCAGAGTTCAGAGGAAGCAAGAGGTCGGGGTGGTGAGAGCGCTCTTTAGAGAAAGGGCTGAGGACTAGGGGAAACTGCAGAGAGAGTTGCTGCATAGGATAATGATGGTGGTTTGGTGTAGGTAATATCAATAAAACTCATGGAGGTGCTAGCAAACAGAAAGCATTCCAGGTTGTTTGTGTGGGATCTCAGAACAGGAGCGGACACGGGCCTGTTACACTTTGTCTTTGGTGAGAGCTGGATTGAACCCAGTGTGTGGAAGAATGAAGGATCCTTAGAGAAGTGAAATCCTCCTAGGAGGCAAGTAATTTATTACTCAGTAACTAAAATATACCTTCTTATTTGTGATTGCTTCCCCTTTGGGTCTGCGTTGTAGGCACTTTGGGGATAAAGCTTTCAAATAGAGTTTGAGATGATGAGTATGTTGACAGACTAATTTTTATGGAAATCCATTCCTGTGAAGTTCTGTCATGCCAACTGATTGATGTTTCACTTTAATAGCTTCAACTAGATGGAGGTAACAGTGTATTCAAGAATTTTAAATATTTGGAATGAAAAACATTGAACTACCCATTAGTCAAGCCAGTAAAAACCAAGGAAAACAAGGGAGGAAAAACATCACGGATAAAATGGACAGAAGCTTGGTCTCTGAACTTAAGGTCTTTTCTAACCTTCATTTAGATTGTGATCTGTATCAGTTTGCTAAAGGGTTTAAAACAGGGGTCTCAAAGTCCCGGCCCACAGGCCATCTGCGGCCTGAGAACCTCCCCCCTTGTGGCCCGCGGGGCTCCAGCAATTTTGGGGCCGGGTCTCTCCTTTGACCCCGCCTGCCACTCCCGGGTGCTCCCTTCTACCTCCCGCGTGTCCTCCAGGTGATTTAAAATGGCGTGGGGCCCCGCCCACCACCAGCAGCGCAGCGGAGCTGAGCGGCTGCCTGCGTGCTCACTCCATGTGACTGCCGGACCCTCTCTGCGGCCCCAGGACTGGGCGGGTCTGTGCCTCCGCGCGCTTCCCGTGCCCCTGTGGCCAATGGGAAGCTGCGGGGGTGGTGCCTGAGAGCAGCAGTGCACGGAGGCCCCCTGGCCCACCCTGCCTTGGAGCCCCAGGTAAGCGCCGCACCCCCCGACCTCCTCCCAGAGCCTGCACACCCTCCCCCTTCCCACACACCCCCTTCCATCCCCAAACTCCCTCCGAGAGCCTGCACCCCCTTCCCACACACCCCCTCCTGTCCCCAAACTCCCTCTCAGAGCCTGCACCCAGCACCCAAACTCCATCCCAGAGCCTGCACCCCAGACTCCCTCTCCCACCCAAACTCCCTCCCAGAGCCCGTCTCACCCCTTCTGCACCCAAACTCCCTCCCAGAGCCTACACCCTAAACCCCTACCCCAGACCACCTCCCTGACCCAAACTCCCTCCCAGAGCCTTAGGCAGGTGGGGGGCAGAGTTTTGGGGGGCGGAGTTTTGGGGGGCGGGTTATTGGCCCGCTGGGAGGATTTGAGGACTGGCCCTGGCACTAAGGTAAATTGAGTTTGAGACCCCGGGTTTAAAGGATGTTGAGATCCCTTGATGTAATCAATGGGAATTTTGCCGACTTTAATGTGGCCAGGATCTTGCTGCTTGTTTCAAACTTTGATCCTTGATAACATAGTTTGAACTGTAGCACGTATAGGGCCATAATCCAATGGCTGGAACTAGGTGTAAAAAGATCCAGTGTCTGGAAGCTGAAGTCATCAAAGCTGAAATTGGAAAGCAGGCATACATTTTTAATAGCGAGGGTAATTAACCATTGGAACAGGTTACCAAGGGACACGCTAGATTTTCCATTACTTAGATTCTTTTAGAAAGACATCCCGTCTTGATCAGGGGTGAAAGTAAGTTAAAGGACTTATCAGTACGCCAGAGTCCTGAGCAGGGGCGTGGCGTCAACCGGAAGAGGTGGGGCTTGAACAGGAAGAGGCGGGGCCTTTAAATCTTGATTTAAAGGCCTCGGAGCTCCGGCTGTGGCTGGGAGCCCTAGGGTCTTTAAATCACCCCCGGACCTAGCAGCTGCAGAGGCAGCTGGGAGCCCCAGGGCTCAGGGGCGATGCTACTGCAGCAGAGCTCCGGGCCCTTTAAATCGCCGACGGAACCCTGTCACTGCTACCCCGGGGCTCCGGCAGCTGGGCTCAGATGGCGATTTAAAGGGCCACGGCTCCCCGCACTGGCTGGAGCCCCAGGCCCTTTATATCGCTGCCCGAGCCCGGCTGCCGGAGGGGGGAAGACAGTCCGGTTTGGCACGGCATACCGGCTCTTGCCAGTACACCGTACCAGACCATACCAGCTTACTTTCACCTCTGGGCTTGATTTTAAAATATGCTCTAGCCCAGCCAAAAGTTGTTAGGCTAGAATCGGGGATCAGCTGGTATAATGCATGGCCTGTGCTATGCGCGAGGTATGACTGGATGATCAGAACGGGCCCTTCTGACCTTAAAATCTGTGAAATATATAACTGATGCAGGGTTTTCAGACAAACTGTGGTGAAAGCAATAAGCCAATGAAACAGGATGTCTTTACCCATTCATATTTTAAATTTAGAGGTAGCTTGTTTTCTCTTGCAGGGAACGGTTCAGAAGTTAATAACTGCAAAGCTATATGTGCGCTGTTTTTAAGCTGAAGTGAGGTCCTTCCTGCAGTTGTATTTTATAGCAGGGATAGGACTGGAATCACTTGAGTAAGACGTGGTTTTGTCAAAGGCAGAGTTAGTGAATGTGATGGGTTGGATCACAGAAACCCCCTTGGGAGCTGCCAACTGATGTGCCAAGACTACTTCTGCCCCTACTTTCCTGCCCTGCAAGCTTGGAACCCCAGCACCCTGTCTTGTTGAGCCAGACACGCCAGTCTGCTCCAACACAGACCCAGGGTCTGAACCACGTGCCCCAAAGCTGCAGACTTAACTGAAAGCAACTTAAGAAGTGTTCCTGTCTTTAACACTCAGATGCCCAATTCCCAATGGGGTCCAAACCCCAAATAAATCCATTTTACCCTGTATAACGCTTATACAGGGTAAACTCATAAATTGTTCACCCTCTATAACACTGATAGAGAGATATGCACAGCTGTTTGCCCCCCCCCCCCAGGTACTTAATACATACTCTGGGTTAATTAATAAGTAAAAAGTGATTTTATTAAATAACAAGAAAGTAAGATTTAAATGTTTCCAAGTAGTAACTGACAGAAGAAAGTGAATTACCAAGCAAAATAAAATAAAATGCGCAAG